TTTTGGATACTAGCCCTTTATCTGATATGTCATTTGCAAATATCTTCTCTCATTCTGTCAGTTATCTTTTGGTTTTGTTGACTGTTTCTTTAGCTTGCAAAAGCTTTTTATCTTGATGAAGTCCCGGTCCCAAGTTTTTGCCCTTGCTTCCCTTGCCTTTGGCAATGTTTCTAGGAAGAAGTTGCTACGGCTGAGGTCGAAGAGGTTGCTGCCTGTGTTCTCCTTTAGGATTTTGATGGACTCCTGTCTCACATTTGGTCTTTCAACCACTTGGAGTCTATTTTTGTGTGTGATGATAAGGAAATGGTCCAGTTTCATTCTTCTGCATGTGGCTGTCTAATTTTCCCAACACCATTTGTTGAAGAGACTGTCTTTTTTCCATTGGACATTCTTTCCTGCTTTGTCAAAGATTAGTTGACCATAGAGTTGAGGGTCCATTTCTGGGCTCTCTATTCTGTTCCATTGATCTATGTGTCTGTTTTTGTGCCAGTACCATACTGTCTTGATGATGACAGCTTTGTAATAGAGCTTGAAGTCCGGAATTGTGATGCCACCAGCTTTGCTTTTCTTCTTCAACATTCCTCTGGCTATTTGGGGTCTTTTCTTGTTACATACAAATTTTAGGATTATTCCATTTCTTTGAAAAAAGTTGATGGTTATTTTGATAGGGATTGCATTAAATGTGTAGATTGCTCTAGGTAGCATTGACATCTTCCGAATATTTGTTCTTCCAATCCATGAGCATCGTATATTTTTCAATTTCTTTGTGTCTTCCTCAGTTTCTTTCATGAGTATTTTATAGTTTTCTCAGTACAGATTCTTTGCCTCTGGTTAGATTTATTCCTAGGTATCTTATGGTTTTGGGTGCAATTGTAAATGGGATCGACTCCTTAATTTCTCTTTCTTCTGTCTTGTTGGTGTGTAGGAATGCCACTGATTTCTGTGCATTGATTTTATATCCTGCCACTTTACTGAATTCCTGTATGAGTTCTAGCAGTTTTGGGGTGGAGTCTTTGGGGTTTTCCACATAAAGTATCACATCATCTGCAAAGAGTGAGAGTTTGACTTCTTCATCTGCAAAGAGTGAGAGTTTGACTTCTTCTTTGCCGATTTGGATGCCTTTTATTTCTTTTTGTTGTCTGATTGCTGTGGCTAGGACTTCTAATACTATGTTGAATAGAAGTGGTGATAGTGGACATCCCTGCCATGTTCCTGATGTTAGGGGGAAAGCTCTCAGTTTTTCCCCATTAAGAATGATACTCACTGTGGGTTTTTCATAGATGGCTTTTATGATATTGAGGTATGTACCCTCTATCCCTATACTCTGAAGAGTTTTGATCAAGAAAGGATGCCTTACTTTGTCAAATGCTTTTTCTGCATCTATTGAGAGGATCATATGGTTCTTGTTCTTTCTTTTATTAATGTATCACATTGATTGATTTGTGGATGTTGAACCAACCTTGCAGCCCAGGGATAAATCCCACTTGGTCGTGGTGAATAATCCTTTTAATGTACTGTTGGATCCTATTGGCTAGTATTTTGGTGAGAATTTTTGCATCCATGTTCATCAGGGATATTGGTCTGTAATTCTCCTTTTTGATGGGGTCTTTGTCTGGTTTTAGGAACAAGGTAATGGTGACATCATAAAACGAGTTTGGAAGTTTTCCTTCCATTTCTATTTTTTGGACCAGTTTCAGAAGAATAGGTATTAATTCTTCTTGAAATGTTTGGTAGAATTCCCCTGGGAAGCCATCTGGTCCTGGGCTTTTGTTTATTGGGAGATTTTTGATGACTGCTTCAATTTCCTTAGTAGTAATAGGTCTGTTCAGGTTTTCTATTTCTTCCTGGTTCAGTTTTGGTAGTTGATACATCTCTAGGAATGCATCCATTTCTTCCAGATTATCTAATTTGCTGGCATAGAGTTGCTCATAATATGTTCTTATAATTGTTTGAATTTCTTTGGTGTTGGTTGTGATCTCTCCTCTTTCATCCATGATTTTATTTATTTGGGTCCTTTCTCTTTTCTTTTTGATAACTCTGCCCAGGGGTTTGTCGATCTTGTGAATTCTTTCAAAGAACTAGCTCCTAGTTTCGTTGATCTGTTCTAATGTTCTTTTGGTTTCTATTTCATTGATTTCTGCTCTGATCTTTATTATTTCTCTTCTCCTGCTGGGTTTAGGCTTTATTTGCTGTTCTTTCTCCAGCTCCTTTAGGTGTAGGTTTAGGTTGTGTATTTGAAACCTTTCTTGTTTCTTGAGAAAGGCTTGTATTGCTATATACTTTCCTCTTAGGACTGCCTTTGCTGCTTCCCAAAGATTTTGAACAGTTGTGTTTTCAGTTTCATTGGTTTCCATGAATTTTTTAAATTCTTCTTTAATTTCCTGGTTGACCCATTCATTCTTTAGTAGGATGCTCTTTAGCCTCCATGTATTTAAGTTCTTTCCCACTTTCCTCTTGTGATTGAGTTCTAGTTTCAAAGCATTGTGGTCCAAAAATAGGCAGGGAATGATCCGAATCTTTTGGTATGGGTTGAGACCTGATTTGTGACTGAGGATGTGATCTATTCTGGAGAATGTTCCATGGGTACTAGAGAAGAATGTGTATTCCGTTGCTTTGGGATGGAATGTTCTGAATATATCTGTGAAGTCCATTTGGTCCAATGTGTTATTTAAAGTCTTTATTTTCTTGTTGATCTTTTGCTTAGATGATCTGTCCATTTCAGTGAGGGGAGTGTTAATGTCCTCTACCATTATTGTATTGTTGTTGATGTGTTTCTTTGCATTTGTTATTAATTGCCTTATATAATTGGCTGCTCCCATGTTAGGGGCATAGATATTTACAATTGTTAGATCTTCTTGTTGGATAGACCCTTTAAGTATGATATAGTGTCCTTCCTCATCTCTTATTATAGTCTTTGGATTAAAATCTAATTTGTCTGATATAAGGATTGCCACCCCATCTTTCTTTTGGTGTCAATTAGCATGGTAAATGGTTTTCCACCCCCTCACTTTCAATCTGGAGGTGTCTTTGAGTCTAAAGTGAGTCTCTTGCAGACAGCATATTGATGGGTCTTTTTTTTTTTTTTTAAGATTTTATTTATTTATTAGACAGAGAGAGAGACAGCTAGAGAGGGAACACAAGCAGGGGGAGTAGGAGAGGGAGAAGCAGGCTTCCCGCCGAGCAGGGAGCCCGATGCGGGGCTCGATCCCAGGACCCTGGAATCATGACCTGAGCCGAAGGCAGACGCTTAACGACTGAGCCACCCAGGTGCCCCGGGTCTTGTTTTTTTAATCCAATCTGATACCCTGTGTCTTTTGCTTGGGGCATTAAGCCCTTTTACATTCAGGGTAACTATTGAAAGATATGAATTTAGTGCCATTGTATTTCCTATAAGGTGACTATTACTGTATATTGTCTGTGTTCCTTTCTGGTCTATGTTACTTTTAGGCTCTCTCTTTGCTTAGAGGACCCCTTTCAATATTTCTTGTAGGGCTGGTTTCATGTTTGCAAATTCCTTTAGGTTTTTTTTGTCCTGGAAGCTTTTTATCTCTCCTTCTATTTTCAATGACAGCCTAGCTGGATATAGTATTCTTGGCTGCATTTTTTTTTTCATTTAGTGTGGGAAACAGAATGCCACAATGACCACTGGTGCATGTTCGCTCAGACTCCAAGATCTCTGAGAAAACTCGAGATTGCAGGGCTAAAAAGAACCCAAAAGGATCACAGTGAAATGCCCTTGGAACGTGTGTGGTCAGTTCTAAAGTAGGCAGCAGAAGATGTTCTGGAGATAGGAAGCCAGCTGTAAACAGCACACTGTGCACTCTCCTCTTTGTTACCTTGTCCTGTAAATAGCACACTGGGCACTGCCCTCTTTGTTCCTTTATACATGGAGGAATGTTCCTGTATACATGGAGGAATGTGCCTTACTACGCCCCTGCTGTAAATCATTATAGATCTATATCATTGTAGAAGGTATATAAGAGTATGGAAAATAAACCTCGGCACCTCGGGCTGTTTGCTCAGTGTCCCCTGTGTCTCACTATACTACTGTCTCTTTTTCTCAGTTCCTTCACCGCCCCAGGTCCCCAGCTCTCAGAAGTCGACAAGTGGCGCCCAAACAAGGACCTGAAGCCCTTGTTTCACCGAGGAGTGATTGGCCAGCACTAGGAACCCTACAGAAGGTGGTAAGTAGGAAAGTTTATTACAGGGTTATGGGGCAATCAAATTCAAAAACATCAGGTTTTGCTGCATTGATATATCATTTTCTTACAGAATATGGAGCTAAAGTTACTAAGCAATGGATAGAAAAATGTTTGGAAACAGTAGTTGAATATAATCCTTGGTTTCCAGACGAAGGCTCCTTAGATGAGGAGACTTGGATCCAAGTGAAAAATAATGTCTTGAGGGCTCTGAGACAGGGTGAAATGATTCCCCTTGATTTCTCGCCCAATTGGGCTTTAGTACAAGTGGTGATCAATACTATGGAAACTGGGGATAAGTTATCCCCGGCTGAGTTTGCTAAAGAAACTACCAACTCTTTACATACGTATGAACTAGATGATGATACTTTAGAAAAGGCTAAGACTGAAAGTAAAAAAATTTTCGTGGCTTCACAGTCCTGGCTGTTACCCACGGCCCCTCCGCTTTCAATGGAGGACCCTGCTGAAGATGATCAACCCCCCTCTGCAGTAGATTTATTTCCTCTTAAACGGTCTTCTCTAGCTCTCTCACCTCTCAAAAAGGAACTCCGACGGCAAGGGGCTAATGATTTGTTTATGGCTTTCCCCATAGACTGAACACAGGCTGTTGGTCCTGTCTATGAGGGATTAGATTTAAATACCTTAAGGGAACTGAAGAAGGCTTGCCACTTGTATGGACCCACAACCCCTTATACTACAGAGATTTTGAAAGCTTGGGCAAATTCTGGGGAGTGGCTCCCTTATGACTGGCATATGGTTGCACGGGCTTGCCTTAAGCCACAGGATTTATTACAATGGAAAATGTGGTTATTGGATGCCGCCTATATGAAAGCCCAGGCAAATTGGGCTAACCCAGCCGTGCATTATATTTCTTTTGAAATGCTCACTGGCTCTGGCCCCTTTTCAGATGTTCGAGAGCAGTTGGTCAACACTCCACCTGCAGCCACAGCGCAGGTATCTGAAATCGCCCTCACAGCCTGGGAAAAGCTAACCCCTTCAGGGGAAGTGAGGCAAAGTTATATAAAAATTATGCAAGGCCCTACAGAAGCATATACTGATTTTATTTCTTGGCTTGAAATGGCTATTGACCGCCAAGTCGATAGTAAACCTGCCAAAGAGCACTTGCTAAGACAGCTTGCTTTTGAAAATGCTAATGAGGACTGCCAAGCGGCCATCCGGCCACATAGAGAAATAGGAGGTATTCTCGATTATCTTCGTCTATGTAGAAATATTGGCACTTTTACACATCAAGCCTGAGTAGCCTCCCTTCAACTCAAGGCCCTACAAAAACAAAAGGATATAAAATGTTGTAATTGTGGAAAAATAGGACATGTCAAGAAGGAATGCCGTAAAGCCCCCCAACCTAGAGTCAACTCCCTTTCTAATACCAACCCTAGCCTCTGCCCTCATTGCAGCAAAGGCAAACATTGGGCCAAGGAATGAAAATCCAAATTTGACAGGCAAAGTAACCCACTCCCATTAAGGTCGGGAAACGGGATGCAGGGCCATTCCCAGGCCCCGAACAACAACGGGGGATTCAATATGTCACCTCTCCAGCAGCAACTTCCTGCTGCACACATAAACCCTCCGTGTTATCACTCAGTCCCGCCACCCAGGGAAGTGCCACAGTAGATTTAACCACTCCTTTTACAGTAAATCTTCACCCTGATCTCGGGCCTCAAAAAATACCCACGGGTTATTATGGACCTTTACCAAGAGGAACCGTGGGTCTTATGTTAGGAAGATCTAGCCTAAATTTTAAAGGTATCCAGGTGATGACTGGGGTGATAGATTCTGATTATGAGGGAGAAATAATGGTGGTAGCACAGACTTGGGTTCCTTGGACCTTTAAGGAAGGTGATAGAATTGCCCAGTTATTATTATTACTCTATGTACAAATTGGTCAGTCCCAACAGATCAGAGGAGGAGGATTCGGTTGTAATGATCCTCTCATGGTTAAATGGGCTTCATTATTGACTCAGACTGATCATACTTCTGTAACTCTTAAAATTAGAGGAAGGACTTTCTCAGGTCTATTAGACTCTGGAGCCGATATTTCAGCAATAGCCTCCCAGCACTGGCCTCATACCTGGCGCACGTAAGCAACCTCTAGTTTGGTAGAAGGAATAGGTTTTGTGATGGCAGAAGAAACTCGACAAAGTAGTGTGCCATTTAAATGTGAAGGACCAGACGGATTAGAAGGAGTTATCCAGCCTTTCATCTTAAATACTCCGATTAATCTTTCGGGAAGAGACCTCTTGCGACAGTGGGGAGCAGAGCTAATCATCCCCCCAAGTCGACCAGTTAATCAAATCATGACAAAGATGGGCTATGAGCCAGGACAGGGCTTAGGCAGACAATGTCAAGGAATAAAGGAGCCTATCATTGCCCAAGGACAAACTCATAGGGCTGGACTGGGTTACCCTTTTTTCTAGGGGCCATTGAGGAAAAGAGGCCTGCCCCTATTAAAATAACATGGAAAACTTCTTCCCCGGTTTGGACTCCTCAATGGCCCCTTCCAATAGAAAAATTGCAGGCCTTAGAACAAATTATTCAAAAGCAATTGCAGGCAGGACATATAGAGCCTTCGCAATCTCCTTGGAACTCTCCCGTTTTTTGTTATCAGAAAAAATCAGGTAAGTGGTGTCTCTTAATAGACCTTCGGAATGTTAATGCCGTCATGAGCCTCTGGGTGCCTTGCAGCCTGGGTTTCCTACTCCTACAGCCATTCCCAAACAATGGCCATTGATAATAATAGATCTTAAGGATTATTTCTATACCATAGCCGTTCACCCTGAGGATAAGGAGAAATTTGCCTTTTCTGTTCCAAGCACTAACAACAAGGAAACGACGAAACGATATCACTGGACAGTTTTGCCACAGGGTATGACTAATTCTACCATGTGTCAGTATTATGTTGGCCAGGTCCTCCGACCTGTTAGAAAGCATTATTCTCAGTCCTACATTATTCATTATATGGATGATATTTTGCTGGCGTCACAAACTGAAACCAAATTACAAGATGTATATCAGGCCACTTCTTAACATTTGACTTCCGCCAGTCTCTTAATAGCCCCAGAGAAAATCCACACAACTCCTCCGGCTTCTTATCTAGGCACTGTGGTAGATAGAACCACAGTGAAACCTCAAACAATGCAAATTCGTACGGATACCCTCCTTACACTTAACGATTTCCAAAAACTCCTAGGAGACATTAACTGGATTCGCCCTCTCCTGGGGATTCCAACTTATAAATTACAAAATTTATTTAACACTTTACAAGATGATTCTGCTTTAGATAGTCCTCGCGCTTTATCCTCAGAGGCAGAGGCTGAACTGCAGTTTGTTGAGGAGTGATTAAAAACTGCCTTTGCTTACAGGTATGATGATTCTCTCCCCTTGCTTCTTCTTATTTTCCCTACTCTCATTCTCTGACTGGTGTCATAGCACAAGAGGACAAACCTCTCAAATGGGTGACTTTACATACAAAAACTTCTCAAACTGTTACTCCACATCTATCTCTTTTTGCTTCACTCATTCTCCAAGGACGAAAGCGTTCTATTCAAATTCTTGGTTTTGACCCAGCGCTCATTGTTTGACCTATCTCTTCCACATCTTTTAAGGAAGTCCTTCCCTTCTCTACTGATCTGCAAATATCTCTTGCTGATTATACTGGCGCATAGGTTGCCACTATCCGTCAGGTAAACTATGGTACTTCCTAAAGCGCACTGCCTGGGTTATAAATCACATGGTTCGTAACTTTCCAATCCCCTCAGCTCCTACATACTTTATTGATGGCTCTTCCCCCAGGCGCACCGGAGTCTGGGGTCCCGCTACTGAATGCTCCATAAAAACCCCTTACACTTCTGCTCAACAGGTCGAACTTGGAGCTTTATTGTTCTTATTGCAGAATGTTCATTATCCTGCAAATATCATATCTGATTCTGCTTACATAGTTCGCATTGTTGCACCTTTAGAAACAGCTCTCATTTCCACAACTCATTGCTTTAGGAATTAAAATTAGAAATTCAATCTTGAACTCACCCTTTGTTCATTACTCATATCCACTCTCATTCTAACCTCCCTGGACCTCTTACATAGAGAAATCAGTCTGCTGATTTATTGGCTACTCCTATTTTTGAAACTCCACAAGCAGAACATGCCTATCTTCATACCAACACCAACCGCCTTCATTCTCACTATAAAATACCCTTGAGCTCTGCCAGACAAATAGTCTCTTCCTGTCCTATTTGTCAACCCCTACATTTAACTGAGCATCCGGCGGGCATCAATCCCAGAGGCACAGCTCCTGATTGTATTTGGCAAATGGACGTTACTCATTTTCCCCCTTTTGGACACCTCTCGTATATTCATGTCACAATAGACACTTTTTCAAGATTTCTTCATACTACTCCATTGACGGGAGAAAAGGCTGGGCACGTTATTTCTCATTTGCTTGAATGTTCCACTATTATGGGATTACCCACTTGTATCAATACAGATAATGGCCCAGCATATACTAGCAAAAAAGTACAAGAATTCCCTGCAGAATGGCAAATACAGCATATCACAGGTATTCCTTATAATCCTCAGGGACAAGCTGTAGTGGAAAGGACACATGCCACCATTAAGAAACAACTGCATAAAACTATTTCTAAAACGACAGGGGGAAACCCCCCCCCAAGATGTGATGGCACAAACCTTATTTATTTTAAATTTTTTAAACTTACCCCAAGGAGAACCATATACTAGAGCTGACAAACATTTTTTTTTAAAGATTTTATTTATTTATTTATTTGAGAGAGAGAGAGAGAGAGAGAAATAGCATGAGAGGGTATAGGGTCAGAGGGAGAAGCAGGCTCCCCGACGAGCCGGGAGCCCGATGCGGGACTCGATCCCAGGACTCTGGGATCATGACCTGAGCCAAAGGCAGTCGCTTAACCAACTGAGCCACCCAGGTGCCCGAGAGCTAACAAACATTTCTCGGTAGCCTCAATCTCAACTCAGGACGCACCCGTGTGGATAAAAAATGAGGAAAATAATTAGTTGCCTGGGAAATTAATTACCTGAGGCCCTGGTTATGCTTGTGTCATTCCATATGGATCCAGTCAAGCAATTTGGATACCTCTTCGGAAAGTCTGGCCCAGGACCGGCAAGGAAGACGACCCTCAAAAAACAAATGAGTGCCCAAAATCTCCATCACAGAGTGCTTACAACAGTGGCTAATTTGAAAAAAGAAAGGGGGAGCTGTGGGAAACAGAATGCCACAACAACCACTGGTGCATGTTTGCTCAGACTCCGAGATCTCTGAGAAAACTCAAGATTGCAGGGTTAAAAATAACCCAAAAGGATCAGAGTGAAATGCCCTTGGGACGTGTGTGGTCAGTTCTAAAGTACGCAGAAGATGTTTTGTAGATAGGAAGCCAACTGTAAACAGCACACTGGGCACTCCCCTCTTTGTTCCCTTGTCCTGTAAATAGCACACTGGGCACTCCCCTCTTTGTTCCTTTATTCTGTTTTAAAGATTCTTATGTGCTTGACTAATCCTGTATACATGGAGGAATGTGCCTTACTGTGCCCCTGCTGTAAATCATTATAGATCTATATCGCTGTAGAAGGTATATAAGAGTATGGAAAATAAACCTCGGCACCTCGGGCTGTTTGCTCGGTGTCCCCTGTACCTCACTATACTGTCGTCTCTTTTTCTCAGTTCCTTCACCGCCCCAGGTCCCCGACTCTCAGAGGTTGACAATTTAGTGCTCTGAATATATCATGCCAGTCCTTTCTGGCCTGCGAGGTCTCTGTGGATAGGTCTGTTGCCAATCTAATGTTTCTACCATTGTAGGTTACAGATGTCTTGTCCTGAGCTGCTTTCAGGATTTTCTCTTCATCTCTGAGATTTGTAAGTTTTACTATGATGTCAGGGTGTTGACCTATTTTTATTGATTTTGAGGGGGGTTCTCTGTGCCTCCTGGATTTTGATGCCTGTTTCCTTCCCCAAATTAGGGAAGTTCTCTGCTGTAATTTGCTCCAGTATACCCTTTGCCCCTCTCTTTCTTTCTTCTTCTTCTGCGATCCCAATTATTCTAATATTGTTTCGTTTTATGTTATCACTTAAATCTCGAATTCCGCCCTCGTGATCCAATAGTTGTTTATCTCTCTTTTTCTCAGCTTCTTTATTTTCCATCATTTGGTCTTCTATATCACTAATTCTCTCTTCTGCCTCATTTATCTTAGCAATTAGAGCCTCCATTTTTTATTGCACCTCATTAATAGCCTTTTTGATTTCGACTTGGTTAGATTTTAGTTCTTTCATTTCTCCAGAAAGGGTTTCTCTAATATCTTCCATGCTGTTTTCAAGCCCAGCTAGTATCTTTATAATTGTCATCCTGAACTCTAGTTCCAAAATCTTACTAATGTCCTTATTGATTAGGTCCCTGGCAGTCGGTACTGCCTCTTGTTCTTTTTGTTGAGGTGATTTTTTTCCATCTTGTCATTTTGTCCAGAGGAGAATAGATGAATGAGAGAACAAAATGCGAACAAGGTAACAATGACCCCTCTTAATTTACACTAACAAATATACACTAAACAAATCAGAAGAGACCTGAAACCGGGGGAAAAGAAAGGGAAAGAAAGAAAAATGAAAAAAAAAGAAAAAGATTAAAAATATATATATATGATCAAATATGATCAGGCTGGTGAATAGATCAGTGCCACACACTAGATTTTGGGTGTATTTTGGTCTGTTAGAAGAAACTGCCTCCCAAAATTTTAAAGAAAGAAAAGCTTATATATGTACAAAAATAAGGGTAAGTATGATGAAGGGTGGAATATGACTGTAAAGATGAAAATTATAAGAAGATTTTATAAAAAGAATTGATAGGATAAGAAGTTGGTTGAAAAAAGAAAGAAGAGAAAAAAAAAGAATGTGATCAGGCAGGAGACTAGAACAAAGCCATACACTAGAGATTTAGGGTATATTTTGGTCTGTTAGAAGAAACTGTATCCCAAAATTTTAAAGAGAGAACAACTTATATATATATATATACCAAAAATAAGGTTAACTACTATGAAGAGATAGAATATGACTCTAAGAATGAAAAATAAAAAAGATTTTTTAAAAAGGGATTGATAAGATGTTGTTTGAAAAAGGGAAAAAGAAAAATTCAAAAAAAAAAAAAAGAAAAAAATTAACTTTGAAAGACTAAGGAATCGGGGAAAAAGCCATGAATTCTATGTGTTATATTCCCCTACTGCGGGGGCTTTGCCATTCTCCTTGATCGGTAAAGTTGGTCTTGGCTGCCTGTTCTTGCTGATCTTCTGGGGGAGGGGCCTGTTGCAGTGGTTCTCAAATGTCTTTGCCGGAGGTAGGATTGCCCCACCTTTGCCAGTTCCAAGCTAAGTAATCTGCTCGGGTTTGCTCTCAGGAGCTTTTGTTCCCTGCAAGCTTTCTGTACAGCTTTGGAGGATGAGAGTGAAAATGGCAGCCTCCCAATCTCCGCCCCCCCACCCCCCCCAGGAGCTGAGAACTCGGGGCCTCACTCCTCAGTGAGCCCCCTGAGAAAAGCAGTCAATCACTCTTGTCTCCCTGGTCTCCGGCACACTCTGAGCTCACCCGGCCTATGACTGAACATTTCTATCTCTGGCACACGATCCCGTTTGGAGTCTCCAAACCCAGTAGATTCCTGTGGTGCGCTCCCGCACTGCCCCTCCTGGGGGAGGAAGGGGAGTCTCCCTGGATCTGCCGCTTGTTGGGTCCCTGCTTCCAGAAAGTGGTCGCTTTTCTGTTCAGAGAGTTGCTGCTATTCTTTTCTTCGATCTCCTGTTGAGTTCGTAGGTGTGCAGAATGGTTTGATCCCTATCCAGCTGAGTTCCCGGGACCAGACGAAATTTAGGTCTCCTACTCCTCTGCCGTCTTGCTCCTCCAATAAAATATAATTTTAAATAGAGCTTTGAGTAGGGAGATATCTTGGGATAGAGGTCTTTAAATCACATCACTTAGTTTCCAGCTAGCATTTAAAATTAATCCTGAGAAGATGAGGTCATGTTGGTAGTCCCCCACAAGTGCCATCATCATCTCTTCCTCCATGTCACTGCTTGTCTTAGGTTTTCTCAGATGAAGAATAATGCAGAATGGACCTATCTACATAATACTTGTCCAGAGGGAAAGAAATATAACTTGGAACTCTGTTCTCCGTCTTTTTCAGCCTTATATACTTGGGGACAGGTATACTGTATCAGTTAAGATAGTTTCTGCTGTAACTAAACAGAAAATCCTGACTAAAAAAGCATAAATGAGAAATACATTATCTCATACAATTGTTAGCATGGAACTAGGGTGACAATAACAAGTATTCTTTATTGAAATTATATGTCAGGCATTATTATTATTATTTTTAAAGATTTTATTTATTTATTTGAGACAGAGAGAATGAGAGAGAGAGAGCACATGAGAGGGGGGAGGGTCAGAGGGAGAAGCAGGCTCTCTGCCGAGCAGGGAGCCCAATGCGGGACTCGATCCAGGGACTCCAGGATCATGACCTGAGCCGAAGGCAGTCGCTTAACCAACTGAGCCACCCAGGCGCCCGTCAGGCATTAT